CAATACTCCCATTAGCCTCAGGTCTCTTTTAAATCAATCTTTTCCTCATTGGTTTGGTCTTACACTTGTGGCTTGGTTAGCTCTTAACTTTTATAATTAATGTCGAAATTCAAAACTAGGATTAGTCAGGCAAAATAGCTTTCAGAGGGTATTACATAAAATGTATTTTATGTATTCTTTTTTCTTATACAGTTGAGTTGTTGTTATCTTAATCAAAATTTTGAAAATATTGTCACTTAGATTTTGTTAACAGAAAAGTATCAAGAATTTTTTTAATAAATAAACAAATGTTAAAAGTCGTCTTCGAGACCATGTACACATCAGGTTATTTAACTTCAAAGGTCACAAATATGATCATTTATTGTATATCTTGATATTTATTGGTGTTACGATTAAAAACTTTAAACAAAAATTATAGAGGAGGTAATTATTTACAAAAAAAGGTAGTGTGMTGTTTAACKTAAAAGTTATTATTATTGTGCTACTAGGCTATACTTAAAAAAAATAAGATTTTTTCACTTAAAACTATTAACCTTATCATTTATATTTCACTCTATACTGGTATGAAAAAATTGATAGGTATGTTAAAGATTAGGGACGTCAGGGTGGTACCTACTCATAAATATTATTTTTTTTTTTTTAAGGTATTAATTATCATAATGAGATATACTATTCATCTATATTACATGAATGTGCATTTGTTAGTTTGTTGCTATGTATATGTTGCATCTACATAGTGGAACATTCATTTCATGAACTGGATATCCAGATTGAGATATTTGTCTTGCTTATATAACTGTGAGTTGAGATAACCAGTGGTGTGGCAAACTTTATTAAGTTATGAGGCACAGTTATATTGTTAGACCCACTACCCACCCCACCCATCACAAAAAACATTAAAAAATGTTTTTAAGATTAAATATATTTATTCATTTAAATAATAATGCTTTTTTTAACACATCAGATGATCTTTGAGGACACCCACCACCCCTCAAACTGAGGAATGTGCCTCAAATATATTCCTTTGTCACACCACTGGAGATAACTAGTGATTTTTTACATATAAGCAACCTGACCTGTGAATTATTATTGATACTGGCTAACATTCATACTTGAGATGATGGCTAATATTAAATATAAGTTATCTTCATTTGTCAATATAATGAGTATGATGTGTAACGTTATTGTGATWGTTGACATATTATGTCCCCAAATAATGAACTTGTTTAAAAAAAATACTCTAGGGTAAACATTATAAAACTTTAAAAATGCAATTAAAATTTTAAATTATACAAATTCATATTATATTGATACGTATACATAAAATAATAATAAATAATAAATAATAAATAAATACATTTGAAATGTTATGAAACTAAAATTATATTCTTACTAAGCAACTAAGCTAGTTGCTAGCTGAGCTTTCCACTTTCCCATCTAATAAGGCAATTAACGCTTCTGTGCTATACACTGGTAAATTACAAGTATTGTTCTTGCATACATACGCCGCAACTTTACCATTTTCTGCAATCCCTAAGCCTTTTGCCAGTTCTGATAAAGAGTTTTCATCAGCTAGACCTAATACAAGATTAGGCATATAGCGCTGTCTAATTGCAGATAAAAGCGTTTCTAACTCAGGATTATCCAAATCACCGGTAACATAAACCTAAACAGAGCAGTTGTTCTTAAAAATTATCATAAAATAGTAAAAGTTATACTTACAGAAGTGATTGAATCACAATGTAGAGTAAGCGCAGACACTAATGCTGGTAAAGCACTTGAATTGCTAGACAAACGGCCAGCAAATGTCAAGAATAAAGGATCAATCTTAGAACRATATTCAATCTTTTCAGTTAAAATTGATAGTCTTAATAGATTCAATGCCGATATTGAATTACCAGAAGGTTCAGCTCCATCATGATCTAGAAAAAAGGTTTTACATTAAAACATTCATGTTTAATACATTATTATCTTACCACTCTTGAACCTCAAAATGATACTTGGATCCTTGTCAGATGAAGAATAGTATCCAAATTTTTCCTTATCCCAGAACAATTCATCTTGCTGTTTCTGCAGATCATCAGCCCATTTTAACCATTTAGACTGTAATGTACATTCATACAAATCTAAAAGACCACGTATGAGAAAAGCGTAGTCATTAAGGAACCCAGCAATGGGGTTTTCTCTAAAAAAAAAAGATAAAAAATGATAAATATTTAAAACATCACAAAATTCCATGGTAAATTACATGTTCGCGATATCTTCATTATCATTTACATAACACGATCGTAATAAAACACTATTTTTAGAATCCCATGCATGTGTTCTAAGAAATTCGGCAGCTTTAACAGCTCTTTGTTTATATTCTTCTACATTTAATGCTGATGCTGCTTTTGCATATGCTGTTATCATTAGTCCTGTAAAATACATAAAATACAATATAATAGAGTTAAATTTCTATCTTGGAGTCTAATAGACAAAAATAAATTGTGATACATAATTTTTTTAAATATAATGAAATAAATTTGGTTTTCGAAAAAAAAGGTGGTTTGATGAAAGTTTCACTGTATGTATTTGATAATAGAATATATTATATTATAGTAAATTTGATTGTGTTTAAAAACTACTGATATATTTATATATTTATTAAATTGGGGATTAGTAAATAATTCATAAACTAATATCATCTATAAGACAATGTCATTTGAAAGAAAAAATTATGAAAAATATGTTCAGTCACAAGTATTAATATAGGCATCTTTAGAGGAAAGTGCACAACTAAAAATACAGTTTTCACAAACTGACAAAAATTTTATTTTGGCAACTATTTAAAAAAAAATATTTAATTGGAATGAATTGTATTTCTTCAGTTTTTACTTCAAACTTATTATTGTAAAATAGTTATTGTTTTATATTTTA